ATCTACAAACAGTAATAGTGGTACGAAGAGCAGAATTGAGATTAAGATTGGGACTAGGAGCGCTGCATGCGTGTGAAGAAATTTCCAAAAATTGCAAACCATCTAAAAGAACATTTTGGAATTGAGTTTGGGAGAAGTGTCTGTCGCCTATCCGTTGACAGATCCTGCCTGGGGACGCACGCCACCCTTCCCCTTCCCCACGACGGTCTGTCATGGGGGGGGATGAGCATATATATATATATATATATATATATATGGATGGACCCAAAAAAAAGGGGCCATAGTTTTGACAACCACCCATGTCCTTGCGGGCCTGCTTTCGCACTGTGTTTGCGCAGCAAGCACCACGAGTTTTGCCCCAGTCGAAGAGAAGCATGCATCGCAGACTGAACCCTGAGCTCCAGCATTCTAGACCCAAAAACCTGGACCTAAAACTGAAACTGCAAGCTGTGGACTAAACGCTAAACCCTAAACTTAAACCCTTAAACCCTAAACCTTAAACTCTAAGCCCTAAGCGTTAAACCTCATAAACCCTAAACAGTTCTGGAAAAAAACACGACTCCAACGCAAGAAACCTCACGCTGCGCCTCTTCTGGGTTTCTTAAGGCTCCTCGGAGGACCGGATGACGAAGTGAGCGGGGTTCTCGGTGAACCAGCTAGTTAGACAAAGAAGAAGAAGAGAGAGAGAGAGAGAGAGAGAGAGAGAGAGATGGATAGTTAGATACATATATATAGATAGATAGATAGATAGATTGATGATAGCTAAATAAAATAGGAAGGATAGAGACGTCGAAAGCTAGATAATGCAAGCAGCTACACCTACAGCAGCCCTTCTTTAAGCCGACTTGCTGTCTAAGTTGTCCCCCCCATCAAACAGCCCCTGTGGCCGAAAAGACCTACCTTCTTAGGGTTCCTTATTACAGTTACTTTATACATAGTTCCTTAAAAAGGTAGGTCTTTTCGGCTACAGGCCAGCCCATGCTCTGAATCAGAGGCACGCGACACCCTACAGACTTCGGGGTTAGGGCTCCCACCCTTAAACCCTAAGCCCACAGCGCGTGCCTGTATGGGGCCGACGAGAGGCCTCCCAAAAAAAACAGAGCTGTGGCTCGAGGGGAAAGAGCCTCTTCGGGCTTCAGGTTAGGGCTTAGAGGGTTTAGGATAGCTGGAAAACCGTAAAGATGTCAACAGCTACTTAGCAAATAAGGAAGCCCCTCTGGGAAGGAGCCGATCTACTTTCGGGGCGATAGCGACATATATGCGTGAAGCCCTTGCTAGTTTTCTGGTTGAGGAAGTCGCCTTAGCAGCCATAAGCCTCACTCCCAAAGCCCCAATTCCTACAAGACCTACGCCCCCTAAACCCTATTCCCAATAAGCCCTACAAACCCTAAACCTTAAAATATTTTCAGTCCTACGAGCCCTGCACCTATGAGTCTTAAACACTTCCGGGTTTAGGGCTTATAGGGTTTAGGGTTAGTTGCTACACCTCAATCACCATGATCACCGAATGACTTCGTCGGAGCTGCCTCCCACGAAGTCGGAGTCTCCCAGCAGCCAGAAGCCATCCTTTAGTTCATTGTTGGGATAGGGTAGGGGAGGGTAGGGTAGAGAGGGTAGGGTAGGGTAGGGAAGGGTAGGGTAGGGAGGGTAGGGCAGGGTAGGGCAGGGTAGGGAGGATTGTTGGGATAGGATTAAAAATGTAGATTTTACTGGGTTGGCCTTTAAACACCCTGAAAAATATTTATATATAGGGCCCCTTGCAAACCCAGATAAGGAACATCAAAAATGTCCAAAAATCCAACCTAGTTTATTCCTTATTGGGTTCAAGTACCCATAAAACTGTAGAATGCTACCCAACAATGACAAAGCCCTTTCTGAGAGGGAAGCAGCGTTTAAGGACTTGAGCTTTTCGTTGTGGCTTGTAGGGATTTCAGTTGTTATAGAGTCTGGGGGTCTAGAGGGTTTAGGGTTATGCGATATATGGTTTACCATGTACAGGGTTCAGGGCTTGGGGTTCTTCGGGATTTCGAATAAGGCCTCATTTTGGACGGTCGCATTTCGGGTTCTACAAGGACCTTACTTGGGACGTCGTAAGGGTTTCAACTGGGGCTTTATGGGGCTTTCTGAGCTTCCCGGTGTGCATACCTGTGGCCCAAAAACCTGGCTTTTGAGGAATCATATAAAGAAGCTAGAAGAACGAACACCCAAAAGGTAGGTTTTTCGGCTGCGGGCAAGGGTTAGGGAGTAATTAAAGCCGGGTTCCAATAAACATGCAAGCGAAGCATGAAAGGAGCGCAATTACTAACTCGGACAACCGAGATCACAAAAGAAGCACTAGGCCAGGAAGCAACAACACAGCCCCAGTCACCCGAAAGCCACCCGCCCTCACCCCGATGCTCACTCTCCTAAGAAGCCCTCTCACTGACATTTCAAACCCAAGCCTCCAAACTCTACAAAAAACATGTCCGAACTCCCAAGTGCAGCAACCGTAGACCCTAAATCCGAAATTCCCCAAACCCCAAACCCCTAATCCATGAACCCCCAAACCCTGATTGCCGTGGCCCGAAACACGGACTACCAAGGATGTGCCTCGAAGTTGGACCCATGGCATCGGTTTTTTTTTTTTTTTTGGGGGGGGGGGCTCAGTGCTCTAGAGCCTCGGGGTTAGGACTGTAGGATGTTTTAGGGCTGCAGGGGCTTAGGGGTTTGGGGCTTATAAAGGGGTTTAGGGCTTAGGGGTTTAGGGCTTCGGGGTTTAGGGCTTAGGAGTTCATGGAGTAGGGGGTTTGGGGTTTAGGGATTTCGGGGCTCTTGGTGTTTGGATGCCAAGGGCTCAAGAGCTGCCAACCTTTGGATCGCCTAGAAAAAATAGGTGCTGTGCTCCCGGAGCTTAGGGCTCAAGAGGGTCTGGGCGGCTGACAACGGTATAGAGTTTTGGGTTTAGGTATCGGGGCCTTAGTGATTAGAAAAAAGGATTTGGGGGGAATCACACAGGGGATTATAAGCGGATGTTTTGAGTGCTTATTCCGACCTCCGTTTTAAGGTATAGACTTCCATAGCGCTCAGGAATAGCTTCAAAGCGCTGCAGCGTTTTTAAGTATGGTTCACAAGTTCCGGGTGTTTGACTCTTAGCAAACTAGCAACTACGCATGTCGCTTGCAAGTGATGACGGCGTCTGGTGCTTCTCATCCTCCTTGAGGTTGAGGGAAGGCTCGCGCAATTTGAAGGGTTTAGGGGTTGAGGATGGGCGATGCGCCGAGGTTGGAAGACCGGTTGAAGCTCACAAAACCCCGACACACTCACCCCAAGGTAATTCCCCACAATACTGCGATTACTCGCCTACAGAGCCCCAAAGCCGCACCACAAGTCAATCCACGAAAGCCCTAGTCCCCGAACTCTGCCTACTTCGCGGATCCGGGAACCTGGTAAGGCAACTACTTGGAGGGTCGGGGGACTTAGTAAGTAGTTATTATATAGACTTATAAGTACCTTAATAGGGACCCTAATTGGGGTTACGGTACTTATAGCTCTATAAAATAACTACTTACTAAGTCCCCCGACTCTCCAAGTATAGCCTGAATTACACGTAGGGTCGATGTACTCCTAACCCTACTCTCTAAGTCCCCTGAACACCCAAGCCTTTTCCTGAACCCTCCCGGAAGTCTTTACGCAGACACTTCAGCTGCACCCCCACGATCCTATTTGAGCTTTGGGCCTAGGTGTAGGGTGTTAGAAGGGTTCGGGAAGTGGTTGGGAAGTGATAAGGCGTTTATGAGCTATTAAGGCCCTTGAGGGTTCTACATGGCTTGCTGGCTGGAAACTATGATGGTCGACAGGTAGCTATAGGAAGAAAGCGGAATGTGGTGATACGGCTCAATCCAACAAATATGTGTACGATGCGCAATTACGATTACAGTACGCAGCACAATGCGAAGATACCGTTGCAACATTAATTACAACCTAAACAAGCACGATGCAAAGTACGATGTCGCCGTGGCTGTATTTGTACTGTACTGTAGCATCGCACCTGCTGGCCTGTTAGTATCAGTGTACCTTGTGCTTTCGCATCGCTGGCAGCTTGAGTACGTTGTGGATTGAAGGGCTGAGGCTTTCGAGACGGAGCGCTTGCGAGGTTTACGGGCGCTACTGCACGGGGCCGACAGTTTGTCACAGTCCACTTCAAGGATCCAGGGATTGCAGTCAAGGATCGTGGGTTGCAGTCAAGTACCTTTATTAGTCAAAAACAGCTACACTTACTTACGGCTACCTAAATCCATAACACTATTTTACTTCTAGCTATAGTTTCCTTACCTAGAACCCTATACTAACTAAGTCCTCGGATCCTGCAAGGAGGCCTAGACAAGAGCTTTTGCTTTCCATCCAGAAAAGGACTATAGAGCTGTCCCTTCACGGTTGCGAAACCCAACAAGCCTAACAGTACGTTTAAATCTGTATATATGATGTAAGCAGCCTCTCTTGGCCCAATCCTTAATAAATGGGTTAGAGACTTGGGATAGACATTCGCTCCGGTGGATTACTATACCATTTGCTGCCTCGGAAACTCCAAATACAAATTCAAAAGCAAGGCCGGCACAAACGAACAGTTTCCTTCTTGGGCATGCAATAGGTCAGGCGTCGGGGTTCAACAGTCAAGGTCAGGGCCTGGGCTTTCTGAGTTGGTCACGGGCGGGGCTGCTGTCATTGTCGGCTTCAGGGCCCTTTTTCTGTCTAAGTTCAACAAGGAGAACACAGAGCACCATATCGACCATCGCCGGCTGTTTCTATGCGCAGTCACGCTGCCTACATTTTTGTCCTACGTCAACCGCGGGCCGTCAGAATGTGTGCAGCAAGCGGCCTGCCACCAAACAGGGAGCATGCTCGAGGTGAGGCTAGACACGTCATTTGCAGAAAAAACATTGGGACCCTTCGTAAGCCTGGCCTCGTTGCCCGCGACCGTTTGAATGAGGCACTGCGCGGCAAACTCCACCGCGACTTTTGCTCTATTCCGAGCGTGCAGCAAAGTGGCGATGAAGCGCAACCCCTGCCTCAGACCACGACCCCAATGCCAGCAAGTAAACACCGATGCCGCAGCCCCCGTAAAGCCTACAAGAATGCACAACCATAAGGCCTTACATGGCCTTACGATGCCCAACAGCAGCTCAACCCAAAACGCCCTAAACAAAGTACCACGCACATGTCAGCTGTAGCAGCAACAGCCAGCAGGAGCAGCAGCAGCACCAGTAGCAGTGGTAGCAGTTGTAGGAGCGGCAGCAGAAGCAGCAGGAGCACAATGGGAGGAGAAGGAGTAGGAATAGTAATAATAATAATAATAACAATAATAATAATAATAATAGCAGTAGTAGGAGTCGTAGCAGCAGTAGGAGCGGTAACAGTAGCACTAGAAGTAGCAGCAGCAGTGGCAGTTTGTCAGACAGTCAGTGAGCCGGCCAACGAACCCAAAAGTATCGGTAGTCTAACGCAGCAACGATAAAAGTAGTTGCTCTGCACATCTATAGTGCGGTCGTTCTCGCCTTCTTCGTTGGACTGGCTCTTTGTTGCAAAGTGTTTTCTACACGCGAGAAAGGGTCAGTCTTCATACCCAGGCGCAGGATAACCTCCATAGAGGTAGAGGAGCAGAGGGCACCAGATAAGTGCGGTGACACAAATGGCCATCGAAGCAAAGGGCGCCCCTGTTCGGTGTGGGTTCAGTATCAGGCCGAGGTTTCTGGATTCAGGGTTTGGGTTTAGGGGTTTAGGGTTTAGGGCCCGCCGGGATCTTGGATTGCACAGGTCCCAACACATACACACGAGAAACAGGAAGAACAAAAGCTAACCAAGGAGGGAAGAGTACTCCATCGGGAAGCTACAAATCTCCAGACTCATGCTCCAGGCGTCAAGCCAACATTACGCAGTCTGCACTGCGGAAGTCCATAAACAGTTTTGAACACTCCAGGGCTGTCGGCGCATAGGCTCAAGTCAAAAAACACCTGCTGCTTGAAATTGGGCATGGTGCCCCTCGCAAGTAGTATAGAGGGCCTCAAAAACTTTGAGCAGGGCTTCAGGGTGAATTATACTACGTCTACAGTCGGAACCTTAAGGAACAGTGCTGGTAATTAATCATTCAACTATATCTCCGAAGCTTTGTAAAAAAAAGGCACCTCGATCGAGGGTTCGGGCTTGCAGTGCTTCTCACCTCAAAGCATAATCAGCCTAGTCCCTAAAACCTCTTTGAGCCCTAACAGCCCTAAACACCTGAAGCCTACTTGAACCCTAAACCCCTGAAAGCCTGTTTGAACCCTATACAGGGAACTCCAGAAAGTTGGAATATGGTTTCATGGTAGGATACCCTATAATTTACCATAGAAGGGTTACGATAATCATATTCCAACTTTCTGGCTTTTACCTTAAGCCCACGTAGCCTGCCTGCTGCATGGCCACGTCTCCCCAGCGGCAGAGCTAGGCAAATCCCCGGGAAAGTAAGCAGTAGCTGACGGACGACCTGCCAGGACAAGGTTCCTGCTGTCGCAGCTACTTGGAGGTTCATGGGTACAATAGTTAAAAGTCGGGTTATAAGTCTCCTAGTATGGGTTATAAGTTAGAAATGGAGGTATCCTACTTACAACCCTATCTAAGGAGGTTGCCATGCAGGGATTCATACACTGTAGGCTTGCACATGATCAGATGCCCTGTGTACGTGTCTATGTACATGCCGTATGTTGTACCAGAGCAGCACCTCTACACCCATGCATCTCTGCAAACTTTGTGCCTGGCAAGAACAAGTCAGTATACTTGGAAGTTCGTGGGAAGTTCTAAGTGGAGTTCTAAGCCCCCACACACAGGGGCATAAGTTTGGTTATCCTTGTAATAAGTACAACCATTATAGCTATACCCATGAAACCCCAAGTACGCACCGAAGATCCAATCTCTAGCCCACTACTTGGAGGTTCATGGGTAGTTACAAGTAGGGTTATAACTAGGATAACTATAGTTATAAGCCGTATTAGGGGACTTATAGCCCTACTTACTAAGTCCCCTGATCCTTCAAGTAAGTTGCTACGAACTGCAACGCCAGGAATCGCTGAAACATCAAGGCCCCCCTTGCGCGAACTTTGGAAGCCCGAAACTCCGAAAGCCCCAAAGCAAAAAACAAGAGAGCTGCGACCTAAGTTCTGTACGGGTTTAGGGTTTAGGATTTAGGGTTTAGGGTTTAGGGTTTAGGATTTAGGGTTTAGGGTTTAGGGTTTAGGGTTTAGGATTTAGGGTTTAGGGTTTAGGGTTTCTAAGTTCTGTACTCTAAACCCAGACTCATCGTCCCCCTGGGCCTGGAGATAACCTTCCACTCTAAAATACAGAACAGCGAGAACACTGCTAAAGTTTAACTGCTGTATAGAAGCCTTGCCATAGGAACCCGAATACAACCCGAATAGAACCCACATAGACTTATAGAAAGCCTCTCGAACTTTGCAGAAGCCCTTATGGAAACCCCTCTACAAACCTTATAGAGACCCTGATAGCAAACAAAACTGACAGGAAGCTTATACGAAGCCCCTGCAAAGCTTTAAAGAAACCTTGTGAAATTGCATAGAAAGCTAGCAGGAACTGTAATGGAAAACCTAGTAAGAGCCGAGCTGAAACCCTAGAAATCTTTCTACAAGCCCTGAGAGACATACTACACGAAAACTTGTCAACATTTCATAGGAAGTCTCGTGAATGCCTCATCGAGCCTGACTCTAGACCATTGCGCCTCTAAACCCTGAACGCCGAAACCGGGAAACCTCCTAACCCTAAACCTAAAACCTTGAGACCTTAAGCCCCAAACCTTCCTAAACCCGCACCAGGCTCATGGGTAGTGATAAATGAGGCTGTAAGTGCCCCAACATGGGACTTTCCGAAAATTGGGGGGTACCTTATTTTGGGGTCCTTATAATAAGGATCCTACTATTTTAGGGTACTATATTAGGGTCCCCTATTTTCGGAAATTCCCATATAGGTTACAACTCTAGTTCTCCTACTTACAACCCTGCTTACTAAGTCTCCTGATCTTTTAAGTAGACCCTAAACCCTAAACCGCTAAATTAACTGCAACTTATAGGAACCTAACTATGCAACTGGCTAAACCAAAAAAAGAACTACCGTGGAGACTGTATGTAAACCCTCAGCCCTAAACGCAGGTTCCTGAGTAGCCCCTTACAAGTAAAGGTACACGTGTTCATAGTATTCGGTGTTACCAAGGGCACAAAGGGCAACAGAATACTACTCCGGAGCCTAGAAACCCTCCCTAAACACTGAACCCAAAGCCCTAAAGCCTAAACCCTCAACCAACCAACCTAAACCCGATACCCTAAGCCCTAAACTCTCCTGAAACGCAAAGCCGGGCCACTCCCAGCTCCCTTGGATGGTGGGAGACTTGCTCTTTCACCGCAGCGAAAGAGGGCCGCTCGCCGGGAACCTAATATAGGGGCTCTCTAAAGGGTTCTATAAGAGTTCCTTTTAAAGGGTGCCTTTAAGGGTTCCCTGAGGGCCGCTCGCCGGGAACCTAGGATTCTGGTTTAAGGGGTTCTGGTTTCGGGTTTGGGGATTAAGGCTGTAGAGGGTTTAGGGTTTAGAGCTTGGGGTTTGGAGTTTGCGATTTAGGGCTTAAGGTTCCCATCACAATAGATGCTGCTTCTGCTAATGCTACTGTGGTTACCTAGCTCCGAGGCTAAAAGGAGGGACCCTTAATAAGGACCCCTAGGTATATACCCGTAATATAGCTATTTTATACCCATTATATAGCAAAATTATAGGGTAGGGGTCCCCATTAAGGGTCCCTCCTTTTCCCCTTTGACCAGCTGCTGCGAAGACCACTACCACTGGAGACTCCAACCCTGGAGCCCGACGCCTCGAAAACCCTAGACACCTGAACCCTACCTTCTGTGTCATTTGTAGTTCCTTTGTGGGGATACCCCGTAACTAATTTCAATTTATTGGGATATGCACAGCAACTAGCTGCACCAAAAAAGGAATTACAATGGACACGATAGGTAGTAAACCCTCAAACCTCACGAACCCCTGCCCTGGCTGCAGGAAGGAAGATCCCGTAAACATTGAACTCTCTGCCTTAACCCTGTAAAAAACACTAAACAGTCTAACATCCCTGAGCTCTCATCCCTAAAGCCGGAAGCCTTAGCCCTGCAAAAACCTACGCTTAGGGCTCCTGATTGTGATTGAAAGTATACAGCCAGGAAATATGTGCTCTCACTACTGAAATTGCGATCATGCTTGTTGTTGCTATCGACATATCTGGTCTCGAGGGAAGCGTTAGCGGCTGTGAAAACTGAGTCTCGTCGGTGTTCGTACTCTCTTGGTCCCCACAACAACATCACCTTGTATAGAAGTACCCACAAGGTGCTTCTCAGTCTTCTGTTGCTTTCTGATCACTGGAGAGTATAGACAGTGAAGGCCGGACTTGAAGCTTGTCTGGAGGTCAGCAGTGTGTCCATAGTTCTAGGGTAATTACCCTGGCTGCACGAGGAAAACCTTGCATGATCATAGACATCGTAATTATCGAAACAGCATAAGCCCAGGAAAATCGTGCAGCTCCTTACATCCTACCCTTCAAGGACCCAGACCTTCCAAAATCCCTTAATTGAGGAACATACCTTAAATTATAGCAGCGTCCCTAATATGATTTAAGGTATATTCCTTAATTAAGGGATTTTGGAAGGTCTGGGGAATGCGCAGCTGCTCCCGCTGGGCAAGAATAAGGGGCATCTTTCACTTGCGCTGGGCCGTCAGATTGCTGCACTGTCTGTGCCGCTTCAGAATTTGAAGCGCTTCGGCTAGGGCTTGGGTTTGGGGGGACCCTTTTGGTGAAGAGGATCGTGGATGAGGACATCTGCGACTTGTGGCCGGAAATTCCCGCTTCACCCTGCCCGCCAGGACCCATGCCTCGGATTAATTCTAAGCACGTGAGACATGGACTTCCTTTCAGGAAGCAGCGTTTGGAGAATTGTGGTAGCGATCTAACTGAACAACTCGACTGAGCCTAAGCCATGGAACCCAAGCCCTACTCGAAAAGGCTCGCCAAAAGAATCCTCCAAGTATAGCTTCGCGATCCACGTGCAAGGCAGCCGGTTTAGCATCGCCAAAGCCGTGGAGACGCAAGTTGCACATTTGCCAACGACTCACAGAGGCTTCGGAACACTGATCACTACCCTGCCAAAGGGTCCAAAGCACCTATCAACTCTGTTCGAAAACTCTGTAAGCCATGCAAAGCCCCAGCTCCAGTGCTGTCCGGCCTCTTGATTCATGCCTTTGGGCGCAGCAAGCCGCTTACCGCCGAACTGTCAGCGCCGAAGTCCTTGTTGCCCCACGTCCAGATAGCACCTGGGTCGGCGGTCTGAGGCGACCTAAAACCATAAACTCTAATATAGGGGCCTTATTAATCAGAGCAGGGTTCCTTTAAAGGGGTCTATAAGGGTCACTATCAGGGATCTATGAGGGTACTATGATGCAGGGACCTTAATAATTAGAATAGGGTTTTGGGGCCCAGTGTTCTATAAGTATCATAAGGAACCCCCAAAATAGTATAGGTACTCACTTAGGCCCCTATAACTAATAAATCCTGAAGCCAACCCGAAATCCTAAACGCAAAGCCCTCTAACCCAATAACACTAACTAATCCTAAGCCCTATAACCCTATATCCCTAAAGCCTAAAACTCCATAAAAAAAACGCACGCCCTTCTCCGGGGGTCATAGTTTGGCCTTAGGGCTTGGGGTTTAGCTTTGGGAACTGGGTATGGAGTTCGGGTTTCGGATTAGGTAGAGTCATCAAACCCTGACCCTGAAGCTCTAAAACCTTCAATCCCCAAACGTCGTGACTCAGACAAGAGGCCCTAAAACCTGGATCCAAAACCCGAAGCCCTTAACCCTCAAACTCTCATCCGAACACCCCCTTTCGGGGCTGCTGCCTTCCGAGGTCACCGCCGCGAACGCCAAGATTGAGCTGTAAAGCTCACGCACCTGCAGCCGAATATGTATGCATGCATACATGCATGCATGTATGTATGCACACACGCGTGGTATGTTTGCTTGCACACACACACACACACACACACACATTACGTATCTTTACGTATCCACGAAGGTGGGTAGGTATGTATGTATATGTGTGTCTGTCTGTCTGTCTGTCTGTCTGTCTGTCCGTCTGTTCGTCTGCCTGTGTGTCTGCTTGTCTGTCTCTGTCCGTTCGTGGTTTTGTGTCTATGAATGTGTTTTGTTGCTTACTTTTCTGTATCTTTACATGGCATGAATTTCGTGTTTGACAATATATGTGTCTATACGTATATACCACATATATTTCTAGTGATATAAAATTACACAGACCAAACGCCTGTTTCAGCGGGGTAACTACGATCAGGCTCCAAACCAAGGCCGCTGGAGACCCCCGCAGAGAAAACCTCGACCGAAGGCACAGAAACCCTAAACCCCTAAACCCTCAACCCTAAAACCCTAAACTCTAAACCCCAAACCCTGACACCCCAAACCCTAAACCCTAAACCCCAAACACTGAAACCCAAACCCTGAAACCTAAATCCTCGACCGAAGGCACGTTGCGAAGGCCATCCTGGACGGATGAACTGTCCCCACCGGCGTTGGGACCTGAGCGTTCGGGGACAACTTGGACCTAGGGGTTTAGGGGTTTAAGGGTTCAGAGTTTAGGGGTTTAGGGCTTTAGGGGCTTAGGATTTAGGGGTTTGGGGTAAAGGTGATATGACCAGAAGTACAAGTAAGCAGCCGTAGCAGTAGCAGTGCGGGAGCCGGAGCAGCAGCAGCAGCAACAGTGGCAGTGGCAGTAGCAGCAAGGGGCAGTAGCAGGAGCAGTAGCAGTAGTAGGAGGCGGCAGCAGTAGCAGTAGCAGTACCAGTGGCATTGGCAGCGGCAGCGGCCACGTGGCGGTGGCAGTGGCGGTGGCAGCGGCAGTGCCAGTTCCAGCAGGAGCAGGAGCCGGAGCGGGAGCAGGGGCAGGGGCAGCAGCAGTAGCAGTAGCCGGAAGATCGAGTAGTAGTTGTAGTAGTTATTGTAGTAGCAGTGGCAGTGGCACTGGCAGTGGCGGTGGTGGTAGTAGTAGTAGTAGTGGTAGTTGTGCTCGTGGACGTGGACGTGGTAGTAGCAGTAGCAGTGGTTGGCCGCGGTGGTAGTCGTTGCAGTCGTAGTCGTAGGCGGAGTAATCATTGTGGTCATAGCAGCAGAACTTGCAGCAGTTGTTGTCAAAGAAGGAGCAGGAGGGGAAGTAACAGCAGCAGCAGCAGCAGTCGTCGCAGTAGCAGCGATTGCTGCTGTTGTTGCTGTTGTTGTGGTAATTAACAGTTCGCCATCGTGCTTTGCTACTTTCCTGAGACAAAACACTCCCCCAGGTCACCACTTCGCCCGTCTTGGTCAAGGCGGCAAAAGCCTAGGGAAGCGCTGCGTTTAGTGTTTAAGGCTACAGTGTTTGAAGGTTTGGGTTATTCAGGTGCAGAGCTCTCGGGGGATTTGCAGAATGCTTGTATGCCTTTGGTCTTTTGGGTTGAGGCTTCTTGCTGCAAGGTTGCAAGATCTAGCCCAATGATGCAGGTGTTCAGAGGCTAGGGGTGTGGAGTTAGGATTGAAGTTGTTCTCTGACTTTCCGTGGTTATCGTGGATCAACTCACCGGGGCGGTCAAGCGGTGCGGATATGGCTTCAGTATTCCCAGAAGCGGCCGTCTTGCTGAGATTGAAAGAGTTCTAACTGTGCGGTGGTCTAAACCCTTTGGTCATGCTGTTCTAAAATGTGCAGCTGGCGCCAAATCTGTCGCATTGCTGCCGCGCGCTGCAGAGGAGCTGACGCGCAGACATTTTCAGCTATGTTGACTGACGCGCACTGACGCGTTGCAGTTTTCGGAGTTTGAAACCAACTTTACTGACGCACACACAGGAAAACACTCCAAAACAGACTGTGTCACCCAGATTCTAGTATACGACGTTATGGATTCGAAAAGAAGACAAGCTCAACAGACCATGCTGCAGCACACCGGTACTATCACCGCGTAACGGATGTTAAAGCCCGAGACAGAACCAGACTCCCGGAATTCCCAGAACACGTCCTTCTTTACCACTGCTGTTTCGGGGTTGTATGGGACGGCAAGAAAAAGCTTCGCCGGAAACACGGTTTTCTTTTCTTACACCATGCTGCTGCCGCAAGCTCGATAAACCACCAACAACAGAGACAATACACTGCATGTCCAAATTCTCAGAAAAAAACTCCACGGAAGCTTTCACTTCGGGTTGTTCACGCGCCATGCTCCCCAGAATATGCTTCATCATATTCTTGAAGTCCGACTCATCGTGAATGTGCGGTAGCAAAGTTTTCAAAACGGAACTAACAATACTGGACTTGTACTGCTTGGTGAGGTCGTTCCAGCGTTTGCCTTTGGCAGCCATTACGC